GACATTTATGGGAGCCGAGTTTTAGGTCAGAAAGAGATGAATGTGTTTTACCTCTCGCATTGTAGAAACATACACGGTAATATTTTGACCGCGCTTTGAATACTCCAATAATTTGTTTAAATCAATCTCTTAACGAATATTAAGCTGCTAAACGGTGCTTATATAAACGTTTCTCTTTTGTTATTGTATTTTCCGTAACCGTGCTCATTGATATCATTTCCGACGTATCTTTGACGAATTAAAAAGGCAGCTGAAGATATAATCGGTATTGACATTTTGCAAAATAAATAGTCATTTTAATGAAAACGTTAAATGTATAGCGCAAATTCATCAGCATGAATCGGGAATTAAGATAAAATCACAATGTATTATTTTTTATCGCATGCATCAGCTATTGATAAAATCAAATATTAATCAAAATTTTATGTATAAATTGCATATATAAATTGAATATGTCATACAGGTTTAAAAATATCATGAACTTATTTAATATCTGCAACTTTATCTCTATAATGGTTCTCTTTGACCAGAAATTACGATAATAACATTTTTTGCATGTTATAATATAATATACAAATTATAATATAAATGCATGTTCAATATGTTAATCGGTAGGCTTTTGCTAAACTCTCTTGGGAGATGGGATAAAATACGTGTTCTGTCGGAAAGCTCATAAATGCAAGCGTATGAGTTCTCTATTCTCGTTTATGGTCGACCCATAGAAAGTTACACTAGGTTTCGATGTCAAGTTAGAATGATCTCGTCCTGAAAGCGATCTGTCGTATCCATCAGATATTCGCCGCATATAATGGCCAAAAAGACTTGGTTAACGGCAAAATTGTGCCGCGGTCTCTCGTGGAATTGCGTTGACTCACGTTTACGCACAATCGATGCATTTCCATCCCTCAGCTCTCGCAAGCGCCTCTGCGTGTTCGTAATTGCACACGCGATCCCGGTATACGTGCACACGTGCGCATACGTAAACGTGTCCGCAAATTCGGAAAGTGCAAGGGAGATAGAAAGAGACGGAGAGACAAGATCATATAGAGAGATAGAGAGAAGGAGAAAGAAAATGCGTGGACCGAGCTCTCTCTCTCTCTCTCTCTCTCTCTCTCTCTCCTCCTCTCTCTCTCTCTCTCTCTCTCTCTCTTTCACGTGCGAGTGCGAGCGGTGCGAGCAGAATAGAAGCGTACGATATGCAGCCATTTGCATACATATAGGGTCATTATAAATATACCGACTCCCTACAGCCGTGTCTCTCCATCGTCCAGCCCATCAGGAGCAGAGGCCGCTTGCAAACTGTCCGATTGCTCCGCTTATCCGTTATTGCGCCTGCCGCCTTTGCTGTCACCATCTCTGCGCTTCGGGACGTTTCCAGGTCTCGGTGGTCGTTTCGGCTCTGAACAAGCGTTTTTCATGGATATTATAGCGGCTCCGGTGCCTCCCTAGCGCGAAACGCATCCGGCGAGATTGCACGGTATACCGACTGAAGTGTTAATTACGGCGTTATCGCCGCCAGAAGTCACGTTGTTTGTTGTGCATTTCTTGGTGAGCTTTACAGCAACATCGTGGCAAAATATTGCGGATAAAATGTTCGCGAAATTCTACGACGCACGGCGTTTCTACTCTTAGACAACTGTCGAATATCAGTGTGAAAGCTAAATAGATCAATTATATAAGAAGTTGCATCAATGCAATCAATTGTCGTGATATAATTATAAGTATAAGAGAATTATCTCTTCTAATAATTTATAATCATGCAGAAGAAAATTTAAAAGAAGAGAATAATCGATATAGAGCAATATTTTTAAAAACTAGTTGTTTAAAAATATTACAAAGAAAAATTTTATAGATAAATTGTGTTCCAAGATGAATAATATTCAGCCTTCTTTATCGTACTATTGTCAATGTATCGATTAAGGTAAAAAAAAAAAAAATACCTCGGCAATGCACGAGTGTAAACACACGTGTTGCCAGACGGCTGACCCACGCACGCGATACGTCGGCCTCGATTATCCACAACCCGGCGTACACTCGATAAGGGCTGCGAAAGCGATAAGTGTGAATCGCTTTGGCCACCGCGGCGCAGAAAAAAATCACAAAGCATCGACAAGCGGATGTAACGACGCGCGGCGTTCGCGTGACATGTGAAAGGCCCCTTAATGGCGCGTCTACTTCCACGTATTATCGCGGCCTTTGGGAGCCGCAGAAAAATATCTCCGTCGCCGAGCGACTGTAATCTTCCAACGGCTGCGTTATAACGCCGGGTGCTGCTACGAGCGCGCTGCGCGGGTGCATCCTATTAACATATTCACCAGCAACGAGTAGTAAACTCTTTTCTCCGCGTACGCGGGCACGAAACGGCGCTATAAATGGTACGTTGATGGGTTTGCGCCGAGCGTCAACGCTTGCGCCTCGAGTTAGGGGTAGATGCGCATTACAAATGCTAATGGGGAGCGCATAGTAGATGTTCCGCATAGAATACATTACCGTCTCGTTCCTCAGTCATTAGCCGCGAAAATACGAAATTTCCTGAGCGCAATGTGTACACCGTATCTGTCGTGCTCGCGAGCCTGCTCGTTGATGGCGACCCGATGGAAAAACGTCGACCGCGAACGCTGTGAATTATAGATGAGTCGCGAATTGCATTTAAAGTCCCTACAATTGTCGACTTGGCCTTTGGTCGGTCTTTGCCATTTTATTTTTCTTTTGCTGCTTAATGGCAATAAAAACTTGATTAGAGAAAATATTTTAATAAAGAAAAAAAAAGTATTTGACTTTTTTATCTTTCAAACACATTGCATATAATAATGTTCACTCGATCGTAATTATGTTTGAATTTATGATAATTTGATGCATCCGCCAGATCCAGAATAGATAATAGAATTATAAATAAAAATACACAATATTCGTGTTATTAACGGAAATTTAGCGTAAATTACTATTACGGTAAATTATATTAAAGCGGAAGCCTACAGTTTAATTAAAATTGCTATTATTTGTGTACAGATTTAACATTTATTTTGTTAGATTTTTTACAAAATAAACAAATTAAGAAGTATATAATATAAAAAAAATTATTTAAATTCATATGTATGTAAAAAATATTTAAATAGGTCTGTTCAGGTCAGTAAAGAATAGTAAATGTTTCATGTCAATTTGCATATCTTTATACGTCGCTTTAATAATTATATCGCAGAGCACTGTAACTAATGAAATTTGATGATATGAATAGTTGAATATGTCCTATTATTATATATACATTTTGTTAATGCTGCAATAGTTATAAAGCGACTATCTCAATCACGAATGCGATTTATAAATGGAAATGGCTTTATGGAAAACATAATTAATAATTCATCAATGATTATTAGTCTCAAAAAGACAAAATTTTCGGAACTAGTAAATGCTGTGAGATTGCTGGATGGTTGATGAGAATTTATCGACAAATTAATTACAGGCATGTGCGTGCTTCCTTCCACGACGATAACCGCCAGCAATTTTTAATTAACACGTATGACAAAGGGAGCCAAATGACCAGTGCTGATCGATTCATCGGCGCGCTAACCACATATCTTTGGTTACACTCTTCTCTTAGTGAACTAACATCGGAGTGAAGAGAAAAATATTCAGACTTTGTACAAAATTTTCGTAAAAAGATAAATTTTACTTAAATTTTTAAAACTTTGAACTATTGTTTCTTTTAACTTAATCTCTTGTTTCTAATATGATACTAAAATATAAATCTAAAAGAAGTAACAAACTTTAATAATCATCTTGCACTTATACGTAAGTAAATTTGAAAGTAATAGATTTTAGAATTGAGATACTACATAGAGTCACTCAAAGTATTATATAATAAAGAATTATCTATTTTCCAACACAGAAACATTAAAACTCAGTGAAGAAAAGTTGATACAAAAAATTGTTAAGAATCCGTACATTAGAAAGACAAGAAGCTGGGACCGAATGCCAAAAAGTAACAGATATACATGACATGAGTAGTAGTGGAAACAACGGTAACTGTTCCCGCATGGCTCTCGAGGAACGACGCTCTGCGCGCCCTCGGTCTCGGGATCGTCTGACCTACCCTCTCTTCCACCACTTCGAACGAACGAAGGAACGAACCAGACTCCCACCCTCTGCCACCCACTCGCCCCTCCATCCTGACGAACCACCCCTCCAGTTACCGCCGCCGCTGCCGCTGCCGCCGTCGTCGCCACCGCCGCCGCGATACATTGCGATACAGGGTTCTTGTCTCCACGCTGCCTACCTACGTGCAGGACCAGCGCTCCACCAAATCCATAGCCCATTACACGCTAGACTACGAGACACCGCGTCACACCAGTTCCCCGTGTCCGCCTGTTCATCCGTTATTATCATTTTTTATCCGCCGCTTGTAACTCGCGCCGAGACACCCTTTCCTCTCACCCTCGCGCCAACACCTATACGATTGTCGGCCGCATAAACACAACACGTATCAAGACGCACGCGTACAAACAACCACGCTTACGAACCGGTACGCACCCCCCCATCGTTCGCCAGCGGCCCGTACGTGAGACTCTGCACCGAAACGGAAGAGCGTTCGTGAAAGTGACGTTTTTTTTCGACAGTGCGTAAACAACAAGTTCGATAATTGTGACAGGTGCTTCGAGTGCGTATGCTTAAGTGAATATTTTAGTGCAAGGCGACGTAAAATTGTTCTGCAAACACGTGCCATCGAGCTCAAATCCATCTGCCGAATAGTGCTTGTATCCGTCGGCTGAACGTCTTTTATGGCCTAGCGAGAAATACGAGGATACGTGAGATTTCCAGTGATATTATAACTACAGTATTAACGCAAAATTCTATATATAATAACAGAACTATTTAAATATTTAATTAAAGTGACGGAAAGTTTACGTTAAAATAAATATTAAAAATTTTATGTAGTGTTTTACTAAAAAAAAAAGATTTCTGGTGAAAATAATTTGCTTGCGTCTTTGGAAATTTGAAAACAGGCGCTGATTGATATCTGGTTTGTGTCTATCAAGATAAAAGGATGTTTTGAAGAGCAGCTGCGACAATCGTTGGATAATTCGATTGACAAGATAAGCGCGCACCTGATACCCCACGCAGTCTCTTGTACATCTCGACTCTTCTCATCGTTTAATCGATTTACTCACCGAATCGTGTTCCACCCTTTTGTCTTGATTATCCGCTCGTATATCTCGCCGCAACACGATTAAATTTCTAAACGTACAAGCGACCAAGTTCCTCCAACATTCTACTAGTGGAAAGTGATCTTTATAAGCAGACGCCGCCTTGTTACTGTGTCAGCGCTTAACATATAAATAAATATCAGCTCGACATTCCAGAAATTCACGTGTATACGACGCGCGGTGCTTACTTAAAATTCACAGCGTCGAGCTTTCATGAAAACTTCAGGCGCGACGTTGACAACAAGACGCAAGGTGAAAGTAGTTGAACTCAAGCTAGTACGAGCCACGTGAAACTGGTGGCTATTTCGCCGGGCCGCACGGATCCTGGAGGCTTGAAAGCCCCTGGTTTCCCGCGCACAGCACGAGCGAAGCACACACAACCACCCCAACCAACCAACCGACGAGTCGACCCACCGCCACCAACCCCTACACACAACAACCCAACGAAGCATCCCCCACTCTGAATCGCACAACAGCCTGAGCGGAAGTGCTAGTCAGTCGGCGAGCGACCTTCCAACATTACGGGTTAGGTTCCCTCTTTTTCCACCCGTCGTGTCTTTAATCTCATTTGTACGATCGCGAGGACCGGCCGCTTTGTTTGATTTACCCGGGAAAGAAGGAGAGGAGGCCGCCGCAATTAAGGTGTTAATCCTCATACAAAGATCGGAAGTAACCGCCGCTTTTTATTTCATATGTCATTCGCGCGGCAATAACATTTAGATTTCTATGATATTTCTCTGTCACCTGAAAGATATCTAGAGCAGCATTCGGAAGAAAAAAATCGGGGAAGGTGCCATTCGAACGATCAGTGATTACGATCGTTTTTCACAATTGTGCGTGTACCGCGAACTTCGTGTCTTTCCTTGCAACGCATTCATAAGCGAAAACCTTCGTGCGACGCGTGCAACTACGAGTGTTGTTCACCAATAGCCTATTCATTCATTGGAAGATTTTGATAGATTAACAAAATATACCGTTGTAAATTTCGATAGATACACATGCTGCATCTTCAATCATAAACTGGAAACACACATTTTATGACTTGTATTGTCGAATCAAGTGACATAGGGCTCCCGGATATCCGTTACAAATAGCTGAGAGTGAAACACATGCTCTGCCGACTACAAGAAAGATACCATCATTCTACTGGTTTATACGAGATGCGATGAACCGTATTCAACTGTTGTACAAACGATCATCCGTATATTAATTAAATATTAAAGCCCATTGTCTTTAATTTAATATTTAATGATTACCTGTGCGATGGTTCGCTTTGGATACTCACTTTATTAGAAAAAACAAAAAAAATATTTTGACAGCAAAAAATATCGCAGATTTTTCTAATTGCGAAGGCCGCAGCAACAAGAAATATCTGCAATTCACTCGTAACGGCATTCAAAGAGATTGACATAGAAGCTTACTCAAGTCGACCACGTGGTCGTGAAGTAAGCGTCGACTGCGCCAAGAGTATGCGGTAAACACATTCGCAGTAAACACAAGAACGAGATTCAATAAAACTGAGCATATTTCTCGAAAACATCTTCCAGAAGATCGTGATAGACTATTTTTGACATAATCGCATCGGTGAACAGCATCATCAGTGTTAATAAAATAGTGCTAACAAAATTTAAAAGCTGACAACATCGGACTAAATCTTTCTATTGAAACTCACATTTCTTCGCAATAAAACTACAACAACACTGCAATAGAGACTGTGATTTTCCACTGATTTAAATAAGATTTAAAATCAGCAACCATCCACGTGTGTGTGTAAAATACGTATTTAAAAACTAAAGTCGAAGTGAAGCGGTTCGGATTTTCTTCGTCGATCGTCATCGTCTGATCCAGGAAGATTTGCAACAGATCAAAAATCAGTGTTCGCCACGCGCGAGTTGACAGTAGATCACCCCGAGTAAACAGTAAGGAGGCAAAATCCCGCCCGCAGGCAAGCGTGAGCTTAAAGAAGCCCAGGTTGATATTGTTCAGCCCGGCTCAACGATCGACGTCAACAGGACGTATCAACAGACCCCTCAACAAGGAGGGTGGGTGCAGTGGTGCAGTGGTTGTCGGAGAGCCAGCGAGCTTGGGGTGGCCTCGTCCACAGGTGCCTTGGCACCAAGCGCACCGGGCCCGGGGCTGCGGTGGTGGGTTGCTTGGTTGGGGTGTATCCGTGTTCTCCCTCCTCCACGGGGCCCAGGGGCCCCCTAACTCATCACCTCCAGGCTATCTCGAACCAGCAACAGCCGATCGGCTGCCGTGCCTGTTGCTGCGTGCATAGCAATCACCAACCAGCTTCGGTCCAGCTTACCAGTCAGCGGGGCGGTCTATCGCTGAGGGTAGCGAGGGTGGCGTCCACCACCTCCGTCCGAGCCGCCCCTACGCCCACCCCCAGCACCAGGGGCTGGGGCAGGAGTGCAGGTAATGATAAATCATTAAACATACATTGTAGCTTCACTTCGACACGTATATTACTACTCCTACTACTACTACCACTACTAGTACCACTACCACTACTTCTACCTCTACTACTACCACTACTACTACCACTAGTGCTACTGCTACGCTTCTACTCTGCTCGTCGTCGTCGTCAGCAGTACTTGATAAAAGTAACATAATAAAAGTAACGACATACGTAGTAGCACGACCGAAATTAAGAAAAAAAAAATATATATATATATACAAAAAACACGGTTGATGGAGTAAAGAAAATTACCCAAAACCAAAAACGCACAAAAAAGGTGTAGGGAGGAGACGGGGGCATTGGGTGGAGGTGGTGCGCACATCCTCGGCAGCCCGATGCTGTTCGTCCCGTTCACGGTGCCCACCTTCCCTGCGACGCATCATCAGACGACTCATCCTGCTCATCAGTCGCATCATCAACAGCTGCAGGCCAACACCCAGAATCCGGTGCAGCAACCGCAGCAGCTCACCCAACTGAATCAGCTGAGCCATCTTAATCATCAGGGCATCGTACCGGCAACGACCAATCAACCAACTATACACAGCACCAGCTGTTCACCGCAGCAACAAGCAACAACACCGAATAAGGTAAAAGATTACTCGATTACTTAACGCAATTCATTAATAATGAAAATCTTCTGGAAGTATCAACATGTTGTTAGGAAAATATATTTTTTAGATGACTATCATAAATGTGGCAAATCGCAAATAAATTGCAATAATATCGCTTCATTGAATTTCGCGCATATGTGTGTTAATTGTACGTATGCATGTGTCAGCAAAAGAGCGCTATAACCAGCATGCGTTATTGAACACGTATTGAAATAATGGGCGATTATTATGTATAACGTGATTATCTCCACATAAGTAGATCCGCGTTAATCGAATAAAATATGGTTGATTTTATAAAGCTCCAACTTAGTTTTTCTAATGCAATGAAATGCATTAAAATCTCATTGATAGCAATCTTACTATATATCATGTTATTATGTTAGCTGATATATTAATATCAATAAAGTTTGCTATATAATTTTTCAAATAATGGTCATATAAGATATTTCGTCATAATAAACAAGCATTATGTCATAATAATAAATATTACGTATATTTCAATATCAGTACAAATACTGTTTATCAGTGTGCTATTAAAGGTTCATTCTTTAAATTGGAATAAAATTTTAATAACACATCGATAAACAGTATTCGTACTGATATTAAAATATACGTAATATTTGTTTATTGACGAGATATCTTATATTACCATTATTTTTTAAATTGAATATTAAGAATTCAAATTAGTTTTCATAATTAAACGTGAAATTAACGTTATTTTTAAACAATGTTATTAAAACTACAGTCAAATTTTGTATTTTTTCTTTTGATTTTTCTTTCTTTTCTCACTTTTTGTTACATCGTCTTTTCACTACAATTATAATTGTTTACAGTCTGTTGACTACATGACATCAAAGAGAGCGAATAAAAAACAAAAGATACCATGTAATAAATTTCAAAATATTGATGCATTAATAAAAAAAATATTTTTTAAAATAAAAAGTCATACACGGAGAAAATTTTATATCAAAAATTACTATGTACGGCATTAACCGCGGACTATGAAGTCGTGAACCAAAAATTTTGACTATGTTTCACATGTGAAAAACAGTAAAAATTTTTATAATTCCTTCATGATCCGCTACTACCGTACATAGTAATTTTTGATATAAAATTTTCTCCGTGTAGTAATGCATCGTAGCTGTTATTTTTTAATCGCTTTCTTATTTTCACAATCATTGTTATGTATAACGTTAGAAAAAGAAGGCAACAAAAAGAGGAAAATTCGAAGAAAAAATACTAAAGTTTGACTGTATTGTAATTGTATATATATATTATATTATCATAATTCTCTAGATAGAGAGTCTTTAAAAGTAATAGACAGATAATATAATAATTGAATGGGTGGCTAGAAGAACACTTTATATATTACAAATTTAACAAACGTAAAGTAAGGTATTGTGAACAGCTCTTAAATATGAATATGTTACATTTTATAAATTTTACAGGAAACTAAGAATACTATGCGCGTTTATATTTAAGAGCCATTCACAATACCTTACTTTATATTTGTTTAATTTGTAATATATAATATTTTTCCATGTATTCAATTGTATTTATCAACTAGAATATTGCAGTTTGTTCTACAAGCTATAGATTTTGCCGTAGACTACTCTGCACCAGTTTCATCGGAGAATCGATAAATACCGGAAACCCGTATTTACGTGTACTATCGAATGAAAGTCAACCTGTGCATTTCTCTTTCGAAAATCACGGATTCAGATCGCAAATTTGCCATGCCGTGTTACAGGAAATGCAAATACGAGATGAAACGTGCTTAGTGCCACAACTATAATTTATAAATTAAACAACAGTTAGAAATTGTTGAGAGATAATTATAAAAGCTGTAACAAACCTGTAGTAAAGGTAAAATAAATTTTATAACTGTTGTGCAAAAAGATCTCTTTTCGCAAAACATATTGTATGTACTTAAGACTCTAGATTATTCGTTTAAAGAAGAGAACCGTTTTTGAAAAACATTACATAAAAGACAGAAGACATCAATTATCAATCTATTATCTATTTATATGATTAAATGTATTAATATCCTTTTTTTTGTCGCACTATCAAATTGCGCATGCAAAATCATACTTTGACAATTTGCTCTTTTGTAAAAATTTAAAGAAAATTAAATTTATTTAAAAAATTGACTGAAAAATATATTTATGTATATTGAAATTGTATTGAATGTTATTTTCTCGAAACTTATATTTTTTAAATTTTAGTTTCTAAATTCTATTTTTCATAATTTACGCCTACATATATCTTTTTCCTGTAATATTTTTCCTGTATATATTTATAATTTCTTTTCACATATAATTTATTTCGAAAATTTTGTAATTATATAATTTGAAAATAATAAATTGTTTGTACAAAATTTACTATTTTTTATTAAAAATAGAAAGAAAGTAAATTTTTATATTGTTTATTTGTATATTGCAGATGAGAATGTGATTGTCAAAGCATGGTCCTTCGCAATTACATAGTGAATAAGGCAAGAAAAAGGCAACAAATGGTATATATCAGTGTTTTATATAATTCTATATAATGAATAAATTCACTCACCAGTCGTTGTACTTTAGCTGAATATGTTTTCACAGCTATACCTGGACAAATTAATATATATTTTAGTTATTGTTATAAATTATCATACATTTTATATATGTTGATTATCATTATTTAATTATTTCCATTTAAAAAATTACTGTATGCAATAAATTGCGTAAATAATTATTTAAGAATTGTAATAAATATATTTAATAAATGTTGAACAAAATACTAACAAAAATATTTTTTTTCAAACATCATATTAAATATTTAATAAATATGCAGTTGTACAATTATATATGTATGTTATCACAAATATTTAAGTAATGAACAAATTGTTGTAATCACCAACTATGATATTGTAGTTTGCTTCAGATTCTGCTGGAGATTCCGCTTTAGACTGCATCGCATCAGCTCCGTCGAAGAATCGATGAATACCAGAAATTTAGATTTATGCTGTCACACTCACTATTACGATCGAACAAAGGTTAACTCGCGCACTTTACTTTTACAAATCACAGATTTACGTAACGAGTTTACCGCAGTACACGAAATGTAAACGTGAGATAAAACGTATGTGCCGTAACGCGTCCACGCACATAATTTTAGTCGACACTGTATATGCTTTCGAGCGAGCGATACGAACGATTGTTCTAGCGGTCACGCGGAAGTCATCAGGTACGAATATGCAAACAACAACAACTATGTTTTATCTGATTCGACGAATTGAATGTTTACATGATATATTTAATGGAAGATACACTGCGGTTCGATCCTCTTGAGTAAACGTAGAAAATAATTTTCGCGTCTGTAGCATCAAAATCTATACTCACTGGAATTCTAACCTATTTGAATCTACGGTCGCCAGAGACGAAATAGCGTTAATGATGAATACTGAATAATGAATAATATGTTCCAGAAAACGTCCGGAAACTTTAATCGGCAATCCCGACACAAATTCGCACTTTTAATTGTTTTAATAGAGATAAAATTCGCAATTAATTGCACAACATTCGCGCTCAATCAACGCCAAAAGAAACTCATGATGGTCGACAAAATAGTAGCATTTATAAACAGATCGATATCGATAAATTCGATGCTATGCGCGCTATCTTTAGACTTTACGTGGTACCAGATGAATGTAGACGCGGTTCCGAGATGACGCCTGTCATCAACTTCTCTCTATCATTTTGGCGGGGCCGCGTCTGCGTCGAGGCTTTACTAGCCATGACATCTCCATTTGCTATGTCACAGTGTAATGTAGAAAGTGAAAGTTCGGAGCTCTATGATTAATCGCGTATTTTATTTGTTAACATGCATAATAAGTACGAATTTAAGTCGGGAGTGCCGATTCAAGTATCGGGAGATTGCCGGAATGTATTATTGTTACCGCAGGCGTTCGTAATTAACAGTGTTTTGTCGATCGATCTTTGAACTACGCCGGTGCGTAGCCAGTGCGAATGTAGTGAGTAGTCCAAAGTTCATTACGCACGAAAATGATCTCTATATTCGCTCAAGAGCATTGAACGCAGTTTAGCTTTCATTATGTATAGTATGTGTTAAACATTTTGCTCATCGGAATCTAAATCCCGTAAAATGTAATTGCGTGCGTATCTGCATCTAGTAATCATTACAAGATCGCCAAAATAGTCGTCATTCGGCTTATGATACACAGTAAATAATAAGAACGTAAATAATAAAAATTAAACAAATAAATCGACTAATCACAATCGAACTTCTTCGAAATAATAGTCGGTTTATTGCTTGAATTTTATACATTTATATATATAGTTTGTGTATCATCTCCTTTTACTTTGTTCGCTCGAAATGCTTGTACGGTGTTGAAAAAATTGCCGAATATGTTGAACGTATTTGTAACACAAAACGTATTTTATCTTGCGTTTCGTGTACCGCGACATAAATTTGCGACGTAAACTCGCGACGTGGATCTGTAATTTTTGAAAGTGAAATACACGAGTTAACCTATTTTCGGTAATATGTGTGTTTAAGTGCATAAGTATAAAAGTTGTGAATTTATCAATTCTACGATGGAGCTGATGCAAATCAGTCTAAAAGCGGAATCAACAGCAGATGAAGCAGCAGATTTCAAACTTCGATATTCTAGCTGGTGAGCACAATTATTTGTTTATTATTTAATACATAATTGTGATAACACATACATGTATAATTACAATTTATATTTCTTAAATATAAATAAATTATTTATTATATGTCTAAGATGTTTGAAAATATTTATTAAAATCTGCATAAAAACATTTATTGAATATCAATCAAAATTTTTACGTAATTATTTACGCACTTTGTATATAGTGTTAATCAAATGAAATGTTTTAATTAAAATGGAAATAATTAAATAATATATGAAAATCGTCATTCAGAAAATGTATGGTAATTAATAATAACTAAAATATATATTAATTTCTCCAGGTATAGCTGACGGCGTACCTAGCTAGGGTACAACGACCGGTGAGTAAATTTATTTATTATACTTGTGTAATTATAAAACACTGATAAGAATTGACAATACTGACAATTACCAAAAATACTGAAAAAATTTTGGTACAATATTATCTTGTAAAAAAAAAGTAAAAAATTCCAAGTTATATTACATAAGATTTTAAAATTTGTTTTTTTACGACTTTAATAGCATAAATACGATACATGATAGTAATCATATTTTATGCAAAATTTGTGTTTTTTAATATAAAACTAAAATATTGAAGATATTGAAAACTGTTTCTGTTCCCAATTTTTTGTTTAATATTTAATAGCTGTTATGCATAGACGTCAACATAAATATGCTAGGTACAGAGTATAAAATGGGTCAAATGTCCGATCAAAATAATGCAATATCCGTGTCGCGTTTAATATCGCTCGTAATATCGGTATCGCGATACAAGTTTCGCAGCGTACTAATAGATATTTATTAATAACGAAGCCGACAGCCACGATCTATAATCGGTATAATGAGGAGGATTTCCTCTGACCGTTCTACGAACGCGAATGATCTCCTTACCGATATCGCCTATGGTGTCGGGATTGTTCCTTCATTTTTCTCGCCCGCGTTTCCTCGCAGTTATGCGCTTTTATTATCCTGGCGTAGATTCAAGTCAATTTTCTTTAGCAAGCCATAACTCGCCGGAAGATTCTCTCGAGAAACACGGCGGCCGATGCGCTATAGTACGAGCAAGACGTCACGTTGTTGGCAGCGAGAACGCGGTTTAATTCTTGAAGTCTGGCAATCCGCGGGTGGTGCTTCCTTTTCCGGGGGTCCGTCTCCGTGTAGTCCCTATAGCTTTAACACAGTTTGAAAAGATCCTCGACCCTTTCCGCTCTCGGCGCCGGCACGTCAATGAGGAGAAAATATGTATCGCAATTTCGCGTAAGTTATCAATTATAATGCGCCGGGCTTTGAAATTTCAATCTCTTTCACGAAAGAATTATGTATTAATTTGTAAAATTGATTAATCATTTAGGAATTAATTTTTTTATATTATTTATCTTATAAATAGGATTGCACATTTTTTAAATATATGTTATGCCGTTAATTTACTAAATTTTGAGACTTTTATTGGAGAAATTATCGAATTTGTGTAACTCTATACAATATATATATTACACGTTATCACACACATATTAATAAAAAGACAAGCGTAATAGAAAAGAAAAACATTTCATGTTTATGCCACTGATATAGAAAGATTGATGGACTTCGAATCAATGAAAACATCTATGCATATTTAACGTACGCTACGTGAAACATTTGATCAGCAAACGATGTGCGGGCTAACTCTTACGTCACCCAATGTACACCACACTGAATATACTATATATCTATTTCCATTATACCGCATATAAGTACGCGTCGCATAGTACACGTGAAAATGTCGTTGACTTAATATACGTAGCAAAGCCCCATACATATGTATTATTACAGGTAACGTTTACGCATTACGGCATGTACATGTACTATGTAATTTACATAGCAGTGACGTATACTCTGTTGTATACATATACAGTGTTATATATGCGCGAGCCATGACATCCGTATGTATTACAAATTCGGAGTGTCTACACGTGTCTATAAAACGTGTACACGCTCTGTGTATACCGTGTCTTGAATTTTGCGTATAAATTTCAATAAGCTAGAATTGCTGCGAGTGTGCTAAAAAGATGAAATGTTGATTTTTCACACATACACAAATTTTATTTAAACAAAGCTAAAAATTTTATTTTATACAGAACTTGTGCATTATTTTGTTTTATTTTAAACATATGACTGGTCACACGATGACGATATATTTTGTTTCTCAATTTCACAATTTTATTGCTTTCAACAAATTTACTTGTTTCACTAAAAATCAATTCACGTTCAATTAAAAATGAAACGCATGATTGCACATTTCTCTGTTAACGCAACATCTTTCTAATGACATCTAAAAGAACAATAAAAAAATATGGTAACACCTGTTGCCAAGAAATCTAACATCAATTTCTAACATTAATATTTAGTCATGTTCTGATAACATTATCTTATATTGTCGGAATCTCTATTAGATACATATGTTTCAACACGATATATCCCATAAGTTTTTTGAATATACTATATTGACAGTTTTCTCACGTTTTCCTCTAGTTATTCTTCTTCCTCATAATTTCTATTATTTTCATAACGTAGAAAAACGCGGACAAAATGAACGCAAAGTAGAAAACAGATAAAAATTGAGTATTGTTATGTCCATCTATAAATCAACACGCGCTAAATGCTGTGTTTATAAAAATTCATTTAATTTACTTATTAAATGGCGTTTAAAATGCGAGCATAATTATCGACATCGAAGAAAATTTCATGGAAAAGTATCTGTGCAAGATAAGCGGAAGACGCTTTCTCATCCAATAAAGGGTTACAACTTCGCAGCAGATAGGCCTTTACGAAAGACCGAAGTACGAAGAAGCAATGGCGGGGAGTGGGGGGAAATACCAGAATTTCTAAAGCGAAGGAAATAGCTGCTACCCAAGTGGGTGGGGACGGGAGGCAGGAAGACTTTGAGAGTTGTTCGCGTAACTTTATTAATTAAAGGCCGTTAGTCCTTGTTGCTCGATACACCTTATATAGCCGCCACGGTCATGGTTCTCTCGTACAAAGAACAAGCTTCTCGTCCGTTTTCCTCTCCCCTGCTTCTTAGCGCCTCCGTCAACGCGCTTATCCGCGTATCGATCATCGTCACTGTCCACTATAGCAAATAGTGTCTTGCGTTATTCCTCTTTATGTGTCGTCACCATTTTTCCGCTTGCGCAAACAATCTTTTTAAGTATGTTTTAATCAATTTTTCTCTTAGCTTTGCCAAATAATTTGAAACTATTAAATTTTTTTACGAATAAAAATAACGACAAATATTATCGATGTTGAAAATGTTAATTACAATTTTATACAACAAAGCGATTATCGAACCTTTAATTAAATTTTCTAGTTTAAGTTATACAATTATTCGCTTATTAATTAAAATATTACTTCTCATATAAACTTTATTATGTAATGTATACAACAGAGTATTTAGTAAATTAAAAAATTAGGAAAATATTAGGAAACTTTTTAGTGGAGCAAAGATAATGTTATTATAGAAAAAAATAATTCGATGGCACAAATAGAAAGTATTGTTTTTGAAAATTTTTAGTTACAGTCATTTTTCCATTTCTAGATTTCTCGATAGATTTTCTAAAAAATATTATAATATAAATTTATATAATTTTATGTTTAATCAATGGGATAAATGAGTGGAGTTAATAGAAATAACAATTTATTAATAGTAAAACAAATTTACATAAACTTATTCGCATATACTTATTCGCTTTCGTCTTTAATACTCTCTCGTGTTTTCATTATTCATTAATTTTGCCGTACACAAATAAAATAAAAGATAGGCTGTGTATATTTTTTCAATATACATTGCTGTCTTTAATTTCTCTTTTCTTTATCTGCAACTCAAACAAAAATCATATAGTTACATTGTTTCACATCA